AGAGCGCGCTCCCGCCCTTCCCGCAGACTGCCCTTCAGAAACTGCGCGTCCTCGCAACAGCTTTCCCGCCACCGGACGCAGACGCACTCTCCCCTTCTCAGCTCGGGCGCCTGATGGTGGTGCTCAATCCCGCACTCGTGTACGCGCCGATGCAGGCGTGGGCGATTCTTAGCCGCCAGACGGAAGAGACGGGGCTCGGGGCGCTGGGGAGCCCTGTCTCGCCTGACGACGAGGACGGACAGGGCGCAGGCCTGCTCGGCTACAGTCTCGCAAGCATCGCACGCGTAACGCCCACCAGCGCTACCGCCGTCTTCACGCACCCATCCGGATCCCTCCCGGACGTGTCGCTCGCCGTCCCCGCTGGCCCTGCACCGCTGCGACCGTTTCCTTTCTCCTCCTCCTCCTCCTCTCCTTCAGCGCAGATATCAGTGTACTCTTCGCCGCCATTCACCCCCTCGCCGCGCTTCGTCGGTCTGCTCACGGTGTTGGTGCAGGCACACGCTCTGGGCTGGGACGTGTCGCTTGTGCCGCCTGCTGCGCCCGCGACTGCCAGCAGCAGCACCAGCACGCTCGTGCGGGTGTTCGGGGAGATTCTCGGGTACACTGGGGGCAACGCGGAAGCGGTGCACATGTACAAAGAACTCGGCGGGCGGGAGCTGTTCATGCGCCGCCGCATTCTAGATGGCGGGGCGACTGCATGGGAGCCTAGGTATGCGCGCGCCTTCGCAGTTATGCTACTTGAGGCGAGCGAGTATTGACTTGTTTCAATTTGTGGTGTAGCGCGATCGTCGAGGCGGCGTGGGCGGGGAAGCTCGTGCACCTCTCGGGGCTGGACGTTATCGGGCCGACGGCGGGTGCGCTCGCGCGGTTGGTGCAGGATCGCGAGACGGAGCTGTGGGCCGGGAAGCGTATCGTCGGCGAGGCTACTCCCACCGAGGTCTGTCCCCTTTTTCTTCTGTTTTCCCTTCACCTCTCCTCACCCACACCGACACTGATGCCCCTCGTTCTCGTTTCGCAGATCGACTCCGGCGCGAGCACCCTCTCCCTCGCGCACCCCTCCTTCCGCCTCATCGCGACCGCATCCAAATCCCTCCCGCTCAAGGACTGGCTCTCCGCCGAGCACGCGAACATGTTCTTCCCAGTGCCCGCGCAGCCTATGGGGCGCGTGGAGGAAGAAGCAATACTTCTTGCCACCGGGTGCGCCCCGCGCGCCGTGAAGCGGATGCTTGCGTTCGCGGAGCGCTACCGGGCGAGCATGTCCGAGGACAGCGTGCAGAAGAACCGCAAGCTCGGGACGCGGTCGCTCGTGCGCGTTGCGCGCCGGATGGCCGTTGTCGATGGTGGGGGTGGGGACGAGGGCGATTTACGCGCGGTGCTGAGCCGCACGCTCCTGCTCGAGTTCCTTCCAGCCGTGGAGCGCATGAACGTGGAGCAGCTTTTCGACGAGGCGGGCATCTTGCGCGTCACACCCGCGGTGTGTGCCATTGCTCAAATCCTTTTGTTCCTCGCATCTCATTTGATTCTCATTGTAGCACAATCCCAGCCCTTTCGTGCAGGGGGACGCGCTCGTCTTCCCGGGCCCGAGCACGAGCGGCGGCCCGTCGTACGCAACGCGCGTCCCGCTCTTCAACGTCGCGGAAGACACGCTTGGCGTCAAGTCCCATGTCCCTTACATGGACCATTTCTACGATAACAGCCTCCAGACGGAGTTGATGCGGGATCTAGCGGTAGATTCAGAGTTGCTGGGCGAGCATGTCGTTCTTCTCGGGAATCAGGTCTGTGTGTTTCTGTCTTCACTCATGTAGACTGATGGCGACACTTAGGGAGTAGGAAAGAATAAGATCGTGGATCGGTAAGTCTAGTCCGCGTTCGTTCGTTGGTTAGGGTTAACCCAAACATTGCCCAGTCTTTGCCAGGTATGTCTCCTCCCTCACCACAGGTCGCAATCTAATGCCAATTTACTAGCTCCTCGGCCGCCCGCGCGAATATATTCAGTTACATCGCGATACCACCGTCAACCAGCTCATGTTTACCACCTCGCTCGAGAACGGGGTGATCAAGTACACCGACTCGCCGCTCCTGCGCGCGATTGCGTTCGGGCGGGTGATCATCATCGACGAAGCGGACAAGGCACCCGAGCACGTCGTCGCGATCTTCCGCAGCCTCGCGGGGCAGAGCGAGCTCAGCCTTTCCGACGGACGACGCGTTCGTGCCACAAAGGAGCGCCCGTCCGACATCGCCGTGCACCCGAACTTCCGGCTTGTGCTGCTCGCGAATCGTCCTGGATACCGTGCGCTCCCCCCTTGCCCGTTGGTTCTGTGCTAATTTTGCTTGGCTGGGCAGCGTTCCTGGGAAACCACTTCCTGCAGGTTCTCGGGGAGACCTTTAGTGCACACTCGGTGACGAACCCGGACCAGGAGTCGGAACGCACACTGCTCGCTCAGTTGGCACCGGAGATCAACGAGGACCTCATCCTGCGCCTTGTCGGTGCCTTCCACGACCTGCGCAAGGGGTACGACGCCGGGACGCTCAACTACCCGTATTCCCTCCGAGGTATGTCGCCCTCTCTCATTGGGATCTGTGGTACTGACGCGCACGTAGAGTTGATCAATCTGGTGAAGCACCTGCAGGCGTACCCCGGCGACTCCCTCGGTGATGCACTGCGGAACGTCTTCGACTTTGATGTGTACAAGCCCGAGACCATCGAGCAACTGGCGGCCATCCTCGCGCATCATGGGTACGTGTATCGATGTCGGCTGCCATCTTCCTGTTTGCTTAGTCGCCCAAAGACTAGCGAGTCATGCTCCGCACCTGGGCCTCGCGGCGGCACGGGAGGCGGCAAAGAAGAAGATCCAGGACGCGAAATTCGAGCCCAAAAATACGGAGCTCGGAGAGCCGAAAGAAGGGGATCATGACGACAAGGAGCATTCGGGGGGCAACAAGTGGGCCGGTGGGGTGTGTTTCCGTGCCTTCGAGACCAAGTAGAAGTGCGCTCATTTGGATTCCAGACTGGAGGCCGAGACACCGCGGGTTTGGGCGGGCGCGGAGGTTACAAGCGCCTGTACAAGGGCGGAAATATAAAGCAGGTTGGTGGTGTCGCGTCTGTTCCTTCTCCGGCTCATGAAGTGCGCAGGTTTCAGACGAGCTGAAGCAGCAGGTCCCCGACCATGTGCGAGAGAAGGCACGCGAGATGGCGCGGCAAGAGCTCCAACGCCGATTAGAGGAATTGGACATGAGCGTGTCCCAGGCGGCAGGCTACGGGGAGCTATTGAACGCGACAGAGGCGCATATGATATCCCTATATGATTTGCTGGAACGTGCGTTGCAGATCTTCCTCTCGGACATGATCTCATCCTCCACTGCTTGTAGACCTGGCGGCCAAGGAGGAGGAGCGGGTGTGGGTCAAGCGGCAAACGGACGGAGAGCTGGACGACAGTCGGCTTACGGAGGGGCTTACGGGCGAAGCGACTGTTTACAAGCGACGAGGGATGGAGAAACCTGAGCTGGGGCGGCCGCAGATCAAGTTTGTCACCTTACTTTCTATTCAGGCTACATGCTCATACCGCACTAGGCCGAAACGTATTCGATTCGTATTTGATCTCAGCGCATCTATGCAAGTTCTTCCCTTTGTCTTCCAGTTTGAGCCTTCATGCCGCCTCTCGACTAGGTACCGTTTCCAGTATGACGGTCGTCTACAGAGAAGTATGGAAACAGGTGCATTCATGTCTTGCGGTCCTCGCGCATCTGGTGCTGATTTACACCTAGCTGTCATGCTGATGGAGACATTCGACCGTCTGTCACGCAAGGAGAAGTACGCGTGGGACGTGAGTATCCTGTTTCTTTTGCCGTTTTCTCCACCATAACTCATGCGAATCAGATGTATGCCCATGTAAGTAATTGTATACTGTCTCTTACACTGGAGCTCACCGACGCAGTCTGGGGATGGGGCCGACATCTCACTGGTCGATGCGCTCAAGCCGCCGGCTGATATGAAGGATCGGTGTGTTTCCTCGCCCTTCTTCCGCGATGATTCTAATCGTCTTCTAGGTGGAAAGTTGTCGAGAAGATGTCGATGATTCCACAATACGCCTTCGCGGGCGATTATACAGGTGAGACGTTTTCTTTTCCGCTAACTTCCTCTCACATCCATTTCAGTCGAAGCTATCGAGAAGGGCGTGAAAGATGTCGGGGCCTTTGATGCAGGTATGTTACACCCTGGTCTCCCCCAATGCACGCATTCATTCCGTCTCAGATGATTGGTTTGTTATCGCGATTACAGTAAGACAAAATGCCCAGTCCTAATACGAGTCGTCTCATTTCTACTCAACAGGACGCGAACTTTGGGAGGTATCTCATCAAGCCGGAGGATATCAGCCGCGCGATGAGGCGCGACCCGAAAGTGCACACGGCGCTTATCTGTATCGGCGAGGGCGCCGAAGCGACCTGGTAGGCACCTCGGGATTCATCATCCTCCCTTTTCTGACGGTTGCAAACCAGGATTCCGAAGAGCATTCCGGGTCGGGGATATCGCGTTGCAAATACCGCTGATATTCCGACGGTACTGCGCAGCATTCTGTCCACGATGGTGGATCGGTGAGCTCAGGGTCTAGGATAGAGACTGTACTTGAACAGTTAGATTATAATTGCATTATCCGAATCCTTAATCGAAGGTGGTTTGGTGGTCAAAGCGTGCCACAATCTCATCAACGCAGTTGCGGGAAGACGTGGGTTGAAGGTCAGTGTACCTGGAACTTCTGTGTTACGCCGTTGTCCTTCAGACCTCTAGATCTTTTACTGGGATTCGACGGTCAGTATATGCATTTGATCACCTCTTGGGTACCTTGTTGAGCTTTTATTTACCACAGTGTCCGAACATCTAGATTTGCAAGAACGGACTGCATTTTGTGCGACCTGCATTGAAAATCGAGAACGGTTTGAAGTCCGAGTCGTGGATATGGAAGTTGGCGGCACTACTGTACATCAGTCAGACGCTGTATATCGGTTCGTTGGTGTAGTTGGTTATCACATCTGTCTCACATTCGATTTGAAAAAATTCTTGCATGTGCACAGGAGGTCCTGAGTTCGATCCTCAGTCGAACCAAGTATTTTTGTTCAACTACTCTTTTGCACGATTGCTCCATGCGATTATTCCGACGCTGTATTTTTCCACTCCACGAGTTGTGTCGTAATTTGCCAAATATCAGGTGCTTGAGTCATTCTCGAAACTTCCCGAAACCCTTGTGGGCATGCCGATAAAATGAAGAGAACGCGTTCTTCCGGCGAGTTGAAATCTAAGGTGTTCGATTGGCTGCGGGTCACCTGACGGCTATAAATTGAACGAAAGCGATTGGCTCGATAATGTCCTTGGCTGAGTTTGAAAATCCAATATAGTCCAAAAATGGCAATCTCCAAACAAAATCCTCTTCCTTCCCGCCAGCCATGTCATCCTCCTCGAATGCCACTTCTGCGCCTTCTGTACCCCTCTCACGGCCAGAGCAATCCGATAAACTCCACAAAACCCGCCTGTTTGGGCGATAGATACAGTGGCACCAACGTCCCAGCCCATTCCGACTGCGCGGTGCTCCCGTCACGTTCGACCAGACGGTGTTTGCTGCAAAGAACTGAAAGGCGACGACCGCACGCTCATTGACCCAGATATCGTCCGCGACGTGTAAGCTCGGCGCAAAGAAAAGCGTACGTTTACTGACACTCCACGGCAGCGTCATTGGACTGTCGGACGGTCTCACGGTCCCTTTCGCGTTAAACCGCTGGCCTTTCTTCGCTCGGCGAATCGCGCCTCGTCGTTCTCGGCGGTGTCGCGGAACTCATCGCAGGCGCCATCTCCATGGGCATTGGTGGCTTCCTGGCGTCCCAGGCCGAGCGCGACCACTACCGATTCCTCCGCGATACCACCGCCGCGCGTGTCGTGCGGAGCTGTGACGGCGAGATGGAGCGCGAAGTCGCTGAGGTCCTTGCCCCCATCGGCGTCGACGAACGCACATGCCGCGCCGTCGCCCGCTGTCTCCGCGAAGCCGAAATTCCCAGCTCGTCCGCCAACAGCGTCACCACGCACGACCTCGAGTCGAATGACTCCCTCCGGTGGAGCAAGGAGGTCGGGCTCACCCCTTTCCTGCTCAAGTTCGGCGCGGGGCTCGAGGAGGTGCCAACGAGCCGCCTCTACATCTCAGCGTTCACCATCGGCGCGGCTACCTCATCGGCGGCATCATCCCCTCATCCCCTACTTCTTCATCCCCCGCGCGCACATCGCCCTTGTGTACAGCGCGGTTATTACGGGATCGTGCTACTGGTGTTTGGCGCAGTCAAGGCGCGCGTGACGGGTGCTGGTGTAGGTGCGGGTGGATACGTGTGGGGTGCTGTGAGCACGTTGCTCGTTGGTGGCGTCGCGGCGGCTGCGGCGTTCGGGATTGTGAAGGCGCTTGAGGGAGGAGGGAGCGATTAGCGACGAGATTGCATGGTTCAAGTATGTTATGCTCAGTATATAATATGTATCATGCGTGTATCGCTATAGTGATCAGTCTCTTGCACAAAATACTTTTTGGCATGCGGATCTCTCTGAGTTGCGGAAAAACACGTCTCCGCACCAAGAAAACGGCGAGTTCTCAGATTCAATTTGCCCCGATTCACAATCTAGACCAAAAGGTCCGGCCAAGTACCTATCTGTGTACCGACAATATACTGACCCAGTCGATATATGGCGGTTGCTCATTGGTTCCCGTAAGCCCAAGCTCTACTGACCCAAATATCCAACACAGATACAATTTGCCGACAAAAAATTCAACCTCACCGCTCGCGTGCTCATTGGACTTGCAAGTTATGGTGGTGCGTTATCGACGCATCCTGCGGCCCATGAGTTGAGCTAAATGGGAAATAAGAAAGGAAACGTACCTCCATAACCTCCTGCGCGCTCTCCTCCTTGAAACCGCTGCACGTTTGCGGATAGCTCGGCGGCTTGTTGGCTCAGGCGGTCGCCTGAGCTCGCCAGCGCAGACATGCGTTTCAGCGCTCTGATACCGTGCCCGGCTTTCTTCCCTGTGATAACATGTCTTTAAATTGGGAGCAGAGTGGACCCGAAGTAAAAACACACATGTCAGCTTTGCGTTAAACGCCTTCTTCACATGCGGCAGCAGATCGGTTGCACCGCTGGGATTGAACGGGTCGGGCACGAAGTGCGGTGTCGCCGAGGCAAGCCACTAGAATATCCCCAATCAGCATGCATGACCAGCATGCAGTGAAGGCCATCGATGCGCACCCGATGCTCCAGCGCCTCCGCGGCCGTCGGCCGGCGCGCGGGGTCCACAGTCAGGCACGCCTGCACAAACTCGCGCGCCGTGCCCGACACATTCGCCCAATACTCCGCGGGCTCAAACCTGTAGTTGCCCGCCACGATCGCCGCGGTCTCCGCCTCGGGCGAGTCCTGGTCGAACGGCGTGTAGCCCGCGAGGAGGAAATACGTGATGACGCCCATCGCCCACACGTCCACGGGCTTGCCGTGCCCCGCTGCACGCGCCCGTCGTCTTCAGTGCCATGCCAAGGTGACGACAGAAGGGGAGGGTGCGAGGGGGAGCACGCACTGTTTTGGAAGATCTCGGGCGCCATGTAGCCGGGGGTGCCGCAGATCCCGGTGAGCAGGCTCAGCTTCTCCTCCTCGAGGACGCGGCTGAGCCCAAAGTCCGCGATCATGATGTCCGCGTCGGCGGCTTCGGTGCGGAAGAGGAGGTTCTCGGGCTTGAGGGTCGCGGTGGACGATCCCGGCGGTGTGGATGTAGTTTACTGCGGTGAAGATCGTGCGCACGAGGGCGGCGGCGTCGCTGCGGAGGAGTGAGCAAAGGCATTATGGCATACGACGGTAACTCACGCCTCGTAGTAGTTGCCCTTGGAACATATCCGGTCGAAGAGCTCGCCGCCGGTGCACAGGCCCGAAGCACAAATACAGGTTGCGGGGCGACTGGGCGTTGGATGAGAAAAGAAAAAAAAGAAGCGTCCACCAGATGTGGAAGAAACACAGAAATATCCTCGAGGCTCGAGGCTCGCCGCGTGCGCTTATTTCCCACAAGTACGTGGACTAAATATAGTCCACGCACGGTGGTCCACGTCGGGCTCCAGCCACATCCATATCGACGCACCTCGAAGTAGTCGTGCAGGGTCACAATATTGGGATGTCCTTGGAAATGCGCTTCAGGACCGCGATCTCGTTCCGCACCTGCAGAGCGTCGAAAAGTTGTCAGATCATCCATCCTGTCATCCTTTCGACATTACCGCACGACGTACCAAGTACTCTCTCCCTTCCATGAGCTGCTTGTTGATGATCTTGCACGCATAGGTGCGGCCCGTATGGATGTGGGTGGCCTCTCTGACAATGGCGTACGTCCCGCTGCCGAGCATCTTCCCGGTGCGATACTGCATAGCATGCAATCATGATCAGGTCGGTGCGTCTGCACCTGGTTCCGGCGAGAACCGACGTACCTGGCAGGGCGTGATCATCGTATTCTGCATCGGCGGCGAGGGGTCGGAAGAGGGTGCGCAGTACTAGTGAGAGAGTCAGTCGGCAGGATAAAGAGAGCGGGCGTCTATTTCTAATTTTGCATGGGAAGAACTGATGATTGTCAGGCTTCTTTGTCGATGGTTCTGCTGGCGGGGTTCTCCAGGCTGACGAGGATAGGGCGATTGGAGAGTCCGACCTGGGGGGTTACCCCTTCGAATGGGGTTTGATTGACCTGAGGCCAGTCATGCGAGTACAGATTGCCTAGTTTCTCTAGAGAACGAGGAATCCAGGAAGGACCTTTTGAATTCATGTTGGGGGCTGTGGCGGGCCGGCAACGGTGTCCAAATTCAACTCGCAGATAGCGCGCGATATCTAGATCTTCATTGCGACTGCCATGGCGGAAACTTGAAGCCGTTACGTCTCGTCCATCGGAAGGGGACCATTCCAAAAGTCATCATACTGATCGCCGAACCAGCGGGAAAATGCAAGGCAGCAGAATAGCAGTTTGAGGATTTGGGAGATGGTAGGTTGTGGGCAGGAAAAGCATCGCTGATCTGTGACACTTCCGTCACGCCGAACTCAACCAATAACCAGGTTGAACCAACAAGCGTCCGCCCGGCACAATAATTTCTCCGGAAGATCGGTTTGATTGCGATATTGAAGCCGAGAGAAAATACCGACTTGGATTCGAGCTTGGCGTCCGCGCGGCTCGCGAAGAGACAAGTGGGAGGGGAAGACCCGGACGAAAAGGTTCAACAAACAAGGGTTACTTATGTTTTCAGGGCTACGGTAGTGTCATCGCACTGCCACGAGGCAGATTCATATTAGACATTCCGTGCCCAAAGGAGATGACAACCAGTCCGAATATGTGGCACGAGGTGTAAGAAAAAGTCCTTTCAAAGCGGTAACCACCAGGGTCCTGATAATGACGGTGGCCTTCAAGTTCGACGACCAGACGACACACATTCACAACTACCACCTTTTCATGCTGAGAACTGTATTAGTTTGTCAAGGGTTGACTCGGACACACTAAGTATTCATGATGTCTCCGATATCTTCGCGAGTCGGGTTTTTGAGGTCCGGGGAACGGAGAGAGTTCAATTGATTACCTCGCGCAAGCTGTCAATCACGAGTCCTATTTTGAGGGCTTCAAAAACCGAAACACCGCACTATACGACATCCCAGTTCCTTAGACCCTGAAACTACTATGGGATCCCCGCTCACCGATGCCCACTCGTATGGCTTGTTCCTCGAGAGTATATTCTATGGGATCTACCTCGTCACATGCGGAGCCTGCCTCAAGACGCTGTTATTCTCAGGAGATCGGCTGAAACCCGTTCGGGAGCTCAAGTGGGCTATGCTGGTCGTTGTGTTCATACTGTTCGGGTTGCGACTGTCGATGCTGTCCTGCAGTTTTACCAAAACCTGCACACGTTTCAGATCGCTAACGGTCCAGGAGCTGCGGCTGACGACTTCTCCGATATCTCTGACCCAATTAATGTTGTGAAGGTATCTGTTTTATTGTTCATCACAGGAATGGCTCAATTGTATTTCATAGAGCGCGGCGATGTGCATCCAGACGACCACC